CCGTCAAGGCGGCACGCGTCGCTCAACTGCACTTGCACCACAACCTCGTCCAAGAGCCCGAGCAACCTGCTCTTCGTCAACTTCTCCGGCTCCTCGCCCAACACGAGTGGCCGCGACGTCACCTCGTCCCGCGGATCGCGCTCCTGCCTCCGCCTGCCTAAATCAAGTCCCTCAACCGAGTACACACAACGAAGAAAGTCCGACAATTTTATTTAGCATAGTTTTATCTATTGTAATAGAGGACCCACTTCAACAACAACAACAACAACGATCGCACACCGGCATCCCACTTTGCTAGTAAGCTTTAGTGCGCACCCATCACCTCCAATACAGGACATACTACTACGGAACGGTAGCATGGATAACATATACTAGTACGGCCTTATTTTGTTGTTGGGGAATGCTCCAATGACAGATGTTGGAGCACCGACACATGTGTTCAGATCAGATGTTATATGTCGCCAACATGCGGCCGTCCGTGCAGACGCCTACAGGATCGTCGATCGGCTCCGGAAGCCACTCGCCCGGTCATTTCATTTTGAACGTGACGGTTACAACGAACATGCCGGGCGCGCTCCGGCGGCTGAGCCGGCTCGCGACGTCCACGGACCTCGAAGTCAAGTGGGGCGCGCGCTTTCGCCGACCGCTGCTCGTCTGGGTCTACGTGCAGCATCTCATGACATTTGTCTACTTTGGCCTTCTCGGCGCCATGCACCTCACGCTCGACCTCGGCATGCGCGTGGCGATGCGCAGCTACGCCAGCGGTCCGTCCGGCGCGCTCCTCGTCCTCACGGGCGTCTTGCACTGCTGGCCCTTTCTACCGCAGCGTGTGCGGCAGCGCTGCATCCAAACCTGGCAGCGTCAAGGTCACATGAGGGGGCATAGCAGGCGATTGTCCGTGTGCGGCCGCCGCCTCGTGCCATCGACCAACGTTCAAATCGCACTCGGTCATTTCGTCGCCATCGCATGCGAGACGTACACCGTCATACGACATGTCGTGTCGGATTGTGCACGCGCATCTCGCGGGCT